TTTTTTTTTTTTTTTTTGCTCGTCTGTTTTATGCATGCACGAAGGCTTACGTTCTACAAGAGCAAGGGAACCTTCTAGATCTCGTGGACCCCACACTTGGTTCAGATTTCTCCAAAGAAGAAGCACTGAAAATGCTAAACCTATCGCTACTTTGTGCGAACCCTTCACCGACTTTAAGACCCACAATGTCGTCGGTTGTGAGCATGCTCGAAGGTAAAGCAAAGGTGCAAGCGCCGCTCGTAAAGCGTGGGCCTGCAGGCGAAGATGTTCGGTTCAAAGCTTTCGAGGTGCTCTCACAAGATAGCCAAACGCGAGTATCGAAGATTTCCCAGGATAGCCGGGAGCAAAGGGGCGTCTCGATGGATGGGCCATGGGTCGACTCGTCGGTTTCGCTCGGGAGCAAAGATGAGAGTGGGGACCACAAGTCGGATAGTCGGCTCTTGCCGGACCTTTACGACGTGAACATGGATTGAGTTTTGATTTGGGGGGTTTTTGGTGGTCGGGGATTTGTGTGTTTTGTGCTTGGAAGTGATTTGTTTTGCATTTTTTTTTTTTTACCCTTTTAGGGTAGATGGAAAATTTTTGGTTTTTAGATAGGTGTTTGCTGGGTTTTGCCATGAGATGGAGAGGAATAAGACATGAATAGAGTGTTCCCAACAATTATGTAAAAACTAAAAATTAAATGTATTTTGTTTAAATATAATAATTGTTAATAGAATTTTTTTTTCTAAATATTTTTGAAGAGCTTTATGAGATGTATTCGATTGAGATATCTAAAAAGGTTTTTAACATTGTAGAAATCCTGTATATTCAATTTTAATTTTTAAAAATTTTTAAAATCATTGAGGTATTCATTTAAGAGGTATTCATTTGAGATTTTTAGGTTTCACAATTCTAAGTTATTTAATTTATTTGAGACTATGATTTGTTGAAGATTTTTTTAAGATTTGCAAGGATATCAATACAAAGTACATTATACGAAATTTTTTGCAAAATTCCAACTTCAAATTTCATAGCATTCGTCCCAAATTTAAAAATCTTAAAAAGTTTCTATCTCAAAATGTCACTTGACATTCCAAACGAATACACTTCAATATGTGCATTTTACTAATATTGATCAAATGGAAAAAGAACCTCATAAGTTGGGTTGATAAACTAATCTCATTGTGCAATAAAAACATCACTAGAACTACCCTCAAGTTCAAGTATGACCTAGTTACAGAACAATCCACTTAACCTCCAAAATGACAAATATTCTCTATTTGAGAACACAAAAATCAGCTTGTATTTTACTATTGCAGGTAGAATTTCCTATAAGAATTATAATAATTAAAAAAAAAAAAAAAAAAACCAAGAATTTTTTTCACAACTAACAAAAAAAAATTACCCATGGGGGAAGCCTATCAACCTAGTTGGCTAAGATTTACAATCTCCTTCAGCAATCGACTCACTGAGTCGTTTATATCTTCAGGCACTACCAATTTTTCAGGAACCGATCCCATAGCATACATGACGAGGACTTGGATCACTTTAGCCAAGCTCAACTGAGTAGATTTATTCCATCCCTTATTAGCATGCTTGCACGAGTTTCTCAACGTGCACTTTCCGCAAACCTGAAATGAGAACATGAATATGGAAAAGCTCATCTTGCAGTTGGGTTATGAAAGAAATAAAGCTTTTTCCTTTTTTTTTTTTTTTTTTTCCTTTCTGTCATCAAGATAATACTTTTGTATATAGCCCTTGATGAAGTCCCAATAACTTGCCTTTTGTTCCTCGATTTCAAAGAACTGGCGCATGTGTTTAGCAGCATATATGGACCTACACCCATAAGATGGACACCCAAAAAGAGCTATTTTTTTAAGATCACTAGCGGTTAACCACCTGAGAAAACCATTGACAAAAGATTAAGAGCAATAAAAGAATTTTTAATAAACAAGATGGACTAGTGGGAAATTACCATGAAATATTCACTCCCATGAGAATGCGATGGTATATTATAACATCAAGATTTCGGGTAAAATTGGATCAGATATGGTGATGAAACAACTTCAGAGCAATCAAAACATATCAGTCTGTGGCGAGAAATGAAGTATTTTTGCTGCAAACATTGCCCACAACCGATTTGTGAGAATATGAAATTGGTCGTTTTTCATAATGCAAAATACAAATACAGCTCAAGTAATATATAAATGAGAACAAAACCGGCTTAAAAAGGGAACCAAAATCCATATCTCCAATATAAGCATTAAATCTCTCCTAATATATATACTCTTTAGTATTTTAACATTCTAATTAGCCATAAAATCAGAACCAAAAATATCAGCTTCTGCTAGTAAGGGTCTCAACTCTCAAGTGCTCCTTTTTTTAAAGCAATGAATGAAGAAGTAGCGACACTTTTTTGTCCAAAAAGGATACCAATGTACTACTAACATGCAATTATTTACTCAACAATCTTATCAGTCGACTGAGGGCTAATTAACCTTCTATGTGCCATCTCATTTTTCACATTTTTCAAGTGTAAAAAACAAATCATAGCAGCTCATAATACGAAGGAGGCACCACGCCAAGCATCTATACAAGCCAAACGAAAAAAGAAAAATAAGAAAAGAATCAAATTTTAGCAGGATCAGACCTATAAGTATATGCAAAATTACTACTTCATACCAATCCAGTAACCAAATCATTTAAGCAAACATCCCTAGGCAATTAAACTGTTAGCCACACCATAATGCACAATGCACTACAACTTTTAGCAAGATATACGGATTTCTTATTAGTTCTCTTACACAGCAATCTTCTGGTGATCTTCTCCAAACCTCACAGCCGCAGACTTCAAAAACTCCCGACCATAGCTCATCTCGAAGCAGGTGACATCGAATTCATCCTTGGGAAGAAAATTCGCACTGTTTAAATACCCCTCTACATACAGACATTGAGCCAACATTTGCATCTCGGGCGAAAGCTCTTTGTGAACCTTTGGGTCCTCAAGGCCAAATTCTATTGGCAGCTTGTCTGATTTAACTTTCTCTTTCTTCTCAACAACGAAAAGCGCAGACAAACTACTAACCCGAGCTCCATCTCGTTCGATTGGCTCGGTTTTTGGCGGAATGGGCGGCCGGGTTTTTCTTCTATATTCATCCTTCTCCTTGCTCAGACTCCTCACAACTTTCTCCAATTTCCTCAATTTTTGTTTCGGGTGAGCTGCTTCAGTGTCGATTGCCTTGGTACCATCATCGGCGGTGGAAACGGCGTTTCTGAATAATTGGCGCAGCTGCGGCTCGGCGCGCTTCTGGGTCTTCTCCGCCGACGTTGCCGAGGATTGTGGCGATTGAGAAAAGGGTCTCCGAGGAAGTGAAGAAATGAACGAAGAATCGGGGGTTTTGGACGAGGTTAAGGATGTTAGATGATGATGGTTTCGGATTCTGAGAAGCTTACGGAGATGGCGGCTGCAGATGGGTCCGAGCACAACCAATTTGCGGTGGCTTTGTGAGTAATTCGGGAACTTGTTATCCGACAATGGCGGAAATTACAGGTCGCCGGTAATTGCAGATAGGCAGGGATTTTTTAACCTTGCGGGGGGTTTTGGGCTTTGGAGGGTTTTAGGAGGAAGATGATGAATGCTAAAATCGCATTTGAGCCATTGCGCTTTTGCAATTTGTGCTCCAACGATCGCTGAAAGATTTTTTTAAAGTCGAACAGAAAATGAAATGAAAAACATTTCACAAAAAAATTATTTACTTTACTATTTTAAAAAAATTATTATTATATATTACAAAAAAAAAAATACTATTATCCATTTACATATTTTATCTAATATTTTTACATCTTTTTATTTTTATATTCGATTTTAATCATCACATTTCATATCTTGTATCCATTCACAATTTCAAGTTCATGTCACTTTTTTTTAAAAAAATATTTGTGTCCATTTTTTTATAATTTTTTAGGCAAGATAAAAATTTTCAAAAATAAAATAAATGCACTTTTTTTTTTCTATGTTTCAATTTTTTATATATTTAAAATATATAGTTTTGTTGAAAAACTGATAATTGGCATATGTTGTTTTAGGTAGTTCGATTTTTCATTGATAATTATTATTTAGACAGCTTTTATTGTGGAAATTATTTTAAATAACCCATTCCACATAACAATTTGTTTAAATGACCCTTGACTAAAAAAGTAAAAAAAATAAAAAAGAAAAATAACAAATAAGGAGAAATTACTTATAAACCCCTACTATACTTCTTC